TCGGCTGGCTTCAATGAAACTGCGCGTTGCATGGACCGCCGCCTCGCAGCCCAGGGGCGTTCCTACCCCGAGCTGGACAGGACGGAGTTCGGCACCAAGGCTGTCTGCCACGAAGCGTGCTCCGATGCGGGATGGCAGGCGTCGGTAGACGCTCCCGACTGCAATGGGCCGCAATCCGCCGCTCTTCTTCCTGAGTGCGCATAGTGAGGCGCTGAAAAGGGCGTCCCTGGCACAATCAGGCACCTCACCGGCCAGCACCAGGTTGGTGAGTACCGTCAAAGAGTGCAAAAGACGGCGGCCGCTCTCAGCCGCCTCCCTGGAGATAAGCTGGCGTAGATGTAGCGGCCTGATGCCGTCTAGGCCTGCTGATGATCCCGGAGGCATCGAGTTGATAGCGGCCTCCACCTCCTCCGGCGTCACCGTGAGCGGCCCTGGGTCTGATGGGGCGGGCGGTGGCGGCAGAAGCTCGTCCTTGGGAGCAGCTGGGTGTTTCAGCATTAGCTCGGCGATTACTTCGGCGTCAGGCTCGGCAACTGTATCGTCCGAGGTCAGTAGCCTTAGGGCCGCCCGGATGTCGCCATCTGCACATTTCCCGAGGATCCGACGGGCCAGGGCGTCAGTGGCAGGCTTTTGATGTTCTCGTGCTGAGTCATTTGTTGGTGGTTCGGGAAGCAGGTTTGGTGTCATAGTTTGGTTGGGGCTGGAGAGCTGCTGCCTGATGCTCGCTGCGGCACTGACATTATTATCGCCTTTTCCTGGTGTGCGTAGCGCGAAGAACGCGAAAGACAGAAAGGTCCACCACGCGCAGATTGTGCGTAGCTTAAGGGCATCCTCTAAGGCGCTGCATAGGGCATCGGCCACCAGGGGCCTTACGCCTTTAGGTATTCGCGAGATTAGTTTAGTGCTTCTCCTTAGAGTTGCCAGTCCTTCGACGACGCCCGTGTCTGGAACCTCTCTTCCGTTGAAAAATACCTCTTCCTTGATACATACCGGCCCCGGCGAAATCGCCCCAGCGATTTCGCTGGGGCGATTCAGCGAAATCGCCCCAGTAATTACCGAGTTATTACGAGCGAGCGAGCGCAGCGAGCGAGCGAGCGCAGCGAGCGAAGCGAGTCTTTTCAATATAACGGAAAAATCTCAGTATGGCCGGGCCGGCCGGCCCGGCCCGGCCCGGCCCGGCCTGTAACGCTTTTGAGAGGCTTATATCTCAGCAACCGCTGGACCGATTGGCCTGCGGTCTTTTTTGCTGGGTAGCCCCATCCCTTCTACCCCGTAATTGACTACTTTTGATACATCTCAGTGACCGTCGTGGCACGTGCCACGTGAAAAGTCAAGGGTGTTCAAGCTGTTTTACAAAAGTAGTGATTTTGAGAGGCTCATATCTCAGCAGCCGCTTGGGCGATTGACTTGCGGTAATTTTTGTAGGGTAGCACCATCCCTTCTACCAAAAATAAGATACTCTCGATGCATGTGGGTCACCCCCATTGCACGTGCAAAATACAAAAAGAAGAGGTGCCAAATTTGTTCCCATTTCAGTAACTCGGTAACTACTGGGGCGATTTCGCTGAAACTTGGCATACAGGTAGGCACCCACCAGGCAATGCATTCCCATGTGTTGCGGTTAGGGTGCTACTGCACGTGCGCACGTGCAGGGGGCGTTTCCAGATCTCGAGAACGGCTGGGCCGATTGCGCTCAAATTTGGTACACGGTTGGGGACCGGTTAGTAGGGTGCCGTGCAAAAGTCATTTTGGGCCCCGTTTGCACGTGCGCACGTGCAGAATGCCGCTTCCAGATCTCAGGAAGGGCTGGGCCGATTGCGTTCAAATTTGGCACACCGCTAGCGACCGGTTAGAAGGGTGCTTTGCACAAGCCTGAAAACAGATTGATCACTGAAATGAACGATCTGCAAAACAGTTTAACAGTTCGCCAGACTTCGGCATAGAGGGAGCCAGCTCGGCATATGACGAATAGTTTCGACCATTGACGATTTGTTTTGCACAATGTTGAACCATTCGTTCAATGTCGAGTTGTAGAGAAAGATCGCCGAATAGTTTTGCACAATGGTAATTCTTTGTGACCAACCGCCCATTTGTAACGCCACCTATATGGCGAATGTGTACAAATGTTTTGCCCAATGGTCAAAAGCTAACGCAAAAAGGTGTATTATGCCTATTGCATATGGAGCTAACAGCTCGTATCTTCTTGCGTGCTTTGGTGAAGGGACTAATTGCTCTGATGCCAATACTAATGTCGTTTGGACCACCTGTAACGCCTGCTTTTACACTAACATGTCCATGTGACTCACAACATCCCCGTCTAACCGCGCCCCCGTCATTTCCACCTACGTCATCACAGGCCGCTCTCCGTCCCCCAACTCCCGGCGCCTGGACGCCGGCTGTGACCGTTTCGTCGGGCTGCCCGTCTCACCGCCGCCGTTCGCCAACCCGAACGATCTCCGCGACCTATCGCCGGGCCGGGCCGGCCGTAATGGACGACGACTCTCCTATCCAGCGGCTCCGACCTCACCGGTGGCCGGCGGACGACTGAGCAGGCCGCGCGGAGGTCTCCGCTCGCCTACCGCCGACCGGCGCGCCTCGCAGCCATGTACGAGCGTGACATGTCAGTCGGAGGATGGATCTGTGTCGGAGTTGTTCGTCAGCCCGGCGCCGCGCGGGCAGCTGCCTCCGCCACGGTCCAAGAGGAGGGATGAGGTGTACCCGGCCGGTCCGCGACTCCCGGCGGCGAAAGGAGTTCGCTCGGCCATGGAGCTGCGTGGTGATGCGGTACCTCAGGGGCTGAACCGGCCGGTGTCAGCGGGGGAGGTGCGAGGTCGTAGTGGTGACCCTACCACATCCCAGCAGCAGCAACTGTTGCAACCACAGCAGTCAAAGGCACGGTATGGGTCGCAGAATTCGGTCCAGTGCGGAGGCGAGCAGCAGTTTGGAGTCACCGCGTCAAATCCGACACAGGGATACGAGCAGAATGCAAGCCGTGTAGAAAAATCTCAGACGGACACAAACTGCAACTACAAGCCGTCTGCTGCCTCTATTGATTCCTACAACACTAGCAGTCAGGCTCGCTCTCAGGAACAGCAGTATAATAATAACAGCTCGCGCCAGCCGCCCAGTGCCGGTCCCGGTTCGTCATGGCACTTTGACGAGCGGCAGCAGCGGCTGGTTGGCAGCAGCTCCAGCCCGGCCCTGACGTCCGCCAGTCCAGTGGACGGCGCCCGGCCTGGCTCTCCACCGGCCAGCCCGGGTGCGGCCGACTCATCCTCTGCCAGTCCCGGCGAGCGGCGGCGACGGCCGGGCCGGCGACGAGCCGCGGCCAGTCTGCAGCGTGCCCGGCTAGCCCGCTCGTGCCCCGAACTGAGCGAGAGCGACGGCAGTCCAGAGCCGCGCCGACGCTACCGACCGCTGAGGGGAATACTGAAGAACGGCCGACGACTCAGTGAGACAGCACTGCACGTCCTGCCCCTTGTGTCTGTGTATTTGCCCTGCCCTCTCTGTGTCTGTGTTGTGAGGGATGGATGGTTTTAGGCGGGCTCAAACCTGCTGCAGTTGGAATGAGGCATGCCAGTTATGTTTTGTTGATTTATTTGGGGGTCCAAGAACGTTTGAGTCGTGACTCCATGTCGTAGATCTTCCTGCATTGCACATGTCTTGTTTGATGGATTGATGTTTATTTCGCAGAGTCGCTGTATGTTCTGCTTTTTATTATTTTGAGACGGAATGACTGCAATTATTACTTTGTATTTGATGTGACTGCGATGATAAATGAGCACTACGTTGTAATTGATGTGTTTAGTTTGTTTATTTTGTCACTCTGTGTTTCATTTTTCCGATCCTCCGTCATCAGAGGCCTGTTTCACTAAAAACTTGCGATTACAAGTGTTTGAACTTTACAATTCATAAGTATTTTTGCAAACTATGTAAAATCGGATTTCACTAAACTTCATCACCAGCGGCACCTCCGATAAAAAGAGTTTGCAAAAAAACTTGTAAACAGTAAAAATGTTTTTAATCAAGAACTATAACATGTTACAGATATTGCTTCATTTTATCAAATTATGTCTAGTATTCATGTCAAAAAATGCATGAATAAATTATAAATAATGATGCTGTTTCTGAATGGTATAAATGATAGTTCACAATATCTTATTATTGAAAGAAAATAACACGCAAAACATTTGACAGCAGAAGACTGTTGAATGCAATTATGGCGCGCGAATGACAAAACATGACGATATTTATTTATCGCTCGTAGCTGGTTCGTAGGGATTGTGCTAAGTAAAAAAGAGCATATAATGACTCAGCATATCATATTTGTTTTAAATAATTGATTGCTTTGCATCATTGCACAAAAAGTAATAAAATTCCGAACGTAAGAGCCACTGGAATTTCGGGTTTGTAAGTACAACGTTTTCTTTCAAGTTTTTGGTCTTCGTGAAACAGAAAGTTTGCGATTTCGATGTTTCTTACAAACTTTTTTCTTGTAAAAAAGTTGGTAAATTTTAAACTCAAAATTCATGCTCGGAGGTTTCGTGAAATCCAAATTTCAAATGTTGGTAAATATTTCTTTTAAACTCAAGTTTTTTCTTTGTAATTACACACTTTATTTGTTAGTGAAACAGGCCTCAGTTGTCGTTTTGCATACAATAGCTTGTAACGTCTCGCTTGGCATTTGCTGTTGCCCTTTTCTTGTTCCCTTGTGTCGACCTTTTTGATGTTTCAATTTGGATAACTTTTGTTTTATTCGAGCTTGTGTGTTTCTTTTGTTCGTGTGTTTCATTCATGCCATCTCGAGAAAATGAGTAAAATTATCTTTGGTCGTTTGGTATCAAAATGGCGTTGCCATCAGCCCGATTAATCGCTGTTCTATCTGCCTACGCAGCGAATGATACTATCCTACCGGATTCTGTTCTGTGATTTACCCCTCACGTCTGCCCCCTATTGCCACTGTCGTTACCCCGTACTGACGAAGTCTGTCCGTGCTTCAGGCGGGCCTCGGGACAGCAGTAGGGACCCGGCGGCCATCCACCAGGCCAGGATACAGGCTTCCAAGTCGGTGCCTTCGCTCAACTGTGAGTACCAACAGCAATAGAAGAGAATGGGAAAACTTCTCCCCCTGGTCATCGTTACAAATTGTTGGATATGGCCAGTGCGTAATGTATTCACTAGTCAGTATTTGGTCAAAATTTTTCGGATGATGGCTAGCCCGTCCAGTGAACTTTTCGAAAAGGAGCTTTAATTGTGACGCCTGCTCTACTAGTATGTCCTGTGCAGCTGATTTCGTACTTTTTTGGGCTGTTTCGTCTCGGCCGATGCTGATTTATGCCTCTCGCCGTCAGAAGCGTTGTGTCTGTTGACTAGCCTCTGACCATCTAACTCCTATGTTCCAGCTGCGGCCGGTGGCGGCTCTGAGCTCTCCCCGGTACGGTCCGGCCCGGGCCCCGCGCGGCCGGCCGCCCCTGCCGGACTGTCAGCCGCCGGAGCAGCGCTCGTCACTCCGCCACGACCGAGCCGGGCGCGGTCGGAGCAGAACCTGCACCAGTACCGGTACCAGCCGGTCGGTACTGCGGCTGGTACCGCGGGAGGTACCGCGCCGTACCGCCACCCGCCCACCGAGACGCCGCCGGGACAGCAGTCGCTGCGCTACCCGCCCTCGCCGGCCAGACACCAACACCACGGCTCGCTCCATCAGCTGCCGGAGACACCACCGCGGCACCAGCACCACGGCTCGCTGCACCAGCACCACGGCTCGCTGCACCAGCTGCCGGAGACGCCGCCCCGACACCAGCACCAGTCGTCGCTGCACCAGCCGGAGCCGGCGTCACCACTGGTGCACTACCAGTACCAGCCGCCCGGGGCGCCGCCACAGGTGGGTGTCGTTACTACTTACCAGGAGTGTGGCCAAAGAGCAGTGCCATGCGACGGTATGGTCGGTATAGAGCTGAGGCCGTTGATATTATGCTTCACGGCCATTTGACTCGCTTGTTTAGCGCTGGATGGCTTAGCTAATGCAGCGAGGCATACAGTGGTTTTGAGCGTTCGCTGAGACTCGTGTGTAGCAATGGACACCCTGTAATTTCGCTCAAAACACATTACATTGGTTTCAAGTCCTGTACGTTGGGTGTCACGTGTCATGATTATCAAGCTCGAGAGCCCCACCAGTATTTACACGGTCTCTTCACTGTAGTGGTTGTGAATTATGACATTCGGCGTTAAGTGATGCATGCCTTGAAGTAAATAGTTAGCCATAATTCCACGAACGTCAATGACACATGACTACCCTGCTCCCTCAGATGGCGATGGCTCGCTCAGTGTCTGAGCACGACCACCTGCGCTACCTGCCGATGGACAACACGAGCTCCAACAACCTGCTGCTGCGCCACTCGACCGTCGGCGGGACTCCGGAGAGACACTGGCAGCCTCAGATCTCCTCGCCGGGGCCCACACCGGCACCGGCCGACCGGGTCAACGGACGGCTGAACGGGGTGAGAGAGTGGGGACGGGTGGGGTGTGAGAGGGTGGACGTCTCAACACGGAGTGAGAGGACCGAGACGGTACGTTTTGGGGGCAGTTACTGCATAACGCTGTGCTTATATGTGGCAGAGGTCATATCGGTTCGAAGCTCCTATGCGCATGCGATGTGTAAAGCATGCAATTGACTGGACGTTATAGGAGTGGGTAATACTTTTTTGACTTGCAGCTTCCTCGCTACCCTTGTTTGGGTATCATTTATTTCGTTCTGCCCTTCGTCAGATTTGTGCGTGGTGGTATAATCATTCATTCAGAGTCGTTTTCAACTGAGTGCTTGGTCTGACCGTCTATTCTTTCTCTTCCCTACCCGGCAGCTGTCGTCCAGTGACGGCGGCAGCAGCACGGGCGGCGGCACCGGCTCCGGTCCCGGCTCCGGCTCCGCGCTCGACGCCCGCCAGCAGGAGATCCGGCGCATGCAGCAGGAGTTGGAGGAGGCGCAGGCGGCCGAGCGGCGCATCCTGCAGGAGGCGCAGCGGCGCCAGGCGCAGGAGCAGGCCGGCCAGCGGCTGGACGCTGTGCTGGCCACGCCGCCGCCGCCGCCGCCGCCCGTCCGCTCTGTGTCGTATTCTATCATGGCGGCGGCGGTGGGCGGCGGCAGTCCGGCGGGTCAGCAGAACGGTCAGCCGGCGGCGGCGCGCCGAGTGCAGTTTACAGAGCCGGAGTCGCCGCCGTCACCGCAGCCAGAGGAGGAGACAGAGACGGAGCAGCGGCCCGAACAGCCGCCCGTGACGCTGAACGTGGTGTCCACACCGGGGGTCATCGGCGCCCAGGAGGTGTACAGGTGAGTACCTACAGTGCTTACCTGAATGGTGCTTCATTACCTAGACAGACAGATAGACAGACGTTTATTCGGAACCTCCGTACAATGGGTTTTGTGGTTTCCACGTCATATACAGACGAGATAAAAACCTAAAATATCTAGTTAAAACCACGTAGCAAAGTTACAGGCACATTAATAACCATTCCATTGCTTGCTACCACGAAATACCTAAGTTGAAGCGGCAGCCCAAAGACTCCCAACAGCACACATTAGCTTTAGTGACTGAGATGGTTTGTGGTGAGCCGTGAGACGTAATCGGCTGCCTTATACCCGTGTTTGACTTAGGTTCTTTGACATCTGCTCATGAGGATAAAGCTGTAGTGGAGTACTTGGGTAGCAGCGGTAGTCAATTAATGTCTGGGATAGGTGGAAGACTGACACATCACTTGACGTGTTGAGCCTCCTGTGTGTATTTTTAGTGACCCTCCCGCCCCTCTCCTCTCGACAGGGACCCGCGCACTCGCCGTCTGGCCCAGCTGGAGAACAGCCACCAGCGGCCGGCCGGCAGTCCGCTCCCCGAGCGGCTCTCATTCAAAGAGAAGATGAAGATGTTCGCTGTCGAGTCGGGCGAGCCGGGAACGCCCAATCAACGCTCGACAAGCAGCAGCCGACAGCGAGAGATTGAACTGAAGGCTGGCGGCCGGGCGGCGCCCTGAGTCGTCGCTGTAGAGTTTCAGAGAGTACATGAGTGAGTGAGAGTGAGAGTGGAGTGAGCCTCGTCAACTGTCTATGCAGGACGGAGACTGCGGGATTAGTTCTTCTGTGGCTGACTTTTGGAGGTGTGAGTGATGAGTTTTCCGGTCATGAGATGGTCCAACTGAGTGATTTGTGGTTCTCTGCGACCTTGTATGAACTGCAAGAACCGTGAGCGGTTGAGTCGTCACCGCCGCTCGCAATCCGGACGTTGATGCAGTGTGTTAGAGGACCCCCGGGTTAAGACAACGGGGCCAGCCTGTGGTCAGTATACTGTAATACGTTTTGTTACGATGCTTTGTCGAGGTCTGTGCACTGTATGATGCGGCGGTGAAATGTTTGTCGATGTCGGGATTCCTGTTTCTGGCCCAAGTAGGACTATGATGCACTGCTAGCAGGTTCTAAGTTATTGTCCGTCTTGGGATCGTGTTTTAGCAGTGTTGTCTCATATTCATGCGGTATGAAAGCAATTGCGGAGAATCTTAGTTTTGTGTACCCCTTCCATTGGAGATTTGGTCCTTGCCGGTTAGAGTACCGGACTTTTGCCGGTCGCAATTCCGCAGCTGTAGGCAGCACCGTTCCGCCGGCAATGGCAGTCTCTGTCCGCCCGCACCAGCCGCAATGTGTTCTCATTTGTACCCGAAGATCTGTCATTCCATGACAGTATCTAGGTCTGACATGTCATCTCGTTTCTCTGTCCGTCATATCTCTGAGTGATCTATCATGTGATCTCGTCCTATCGGACATATCTGTGGTCGACTGTGTGTCTGTTTCAACTCCGTCACACTAGTGGCAGCTTGTCTCGACTTGTGAACTCGCGGCCACTGATACGGTCCCTCTGCGATATTCCCTCCTATGTGCCCCTATGGCTGTGCTTGAGCCGTCTTGCCCTTGTCATTTTGTAGAGCCGAAACGACAATTCCAGTCGCTCTTGTTTTATTCCACTTACCTTAGATGACGTTTTGAGATTCCCTGTTGTATAGCAATAGGATGCAGAGATTTGTGGCTTTTGCATGGTTATTTATTGCTGCCTGACGATTTTGTCTCACTCACGGTCACGGCTTGTGATTGAGTTGTCAGGTCGTCCACTCCCAGTCTGATCATGTTGACAGTGACGCCGCTGGAGTGACGTCACGTCACGCGGCAGTGGATTAGCTGCACGTCACACTCGATATCACCCGCGCGCGCCTCACATTCACCTCACGTCACACGCGCGTTACACACGTCATCCTCATAGTGCACGTCCCGCGCACCCCGCGCCGCGCACCGACCGCGACGCGAATCGGGAGAGAGAATTGTTATTGCTGAGCAAATACACGAAAACACACGACTGAGCTGAGTTTGGACGGGAGGGGAAGTGGGAAATGGTGATGTGGGCATAGCGAGCTTGTGGGGGCGAGACGTGACGATGGCTTGGCTTGGTTGGCGAGAACTTGTATTCATGACGATTCGTGCCTGCTGGATTTCACGTTTTGTTTTGTTTGCTTTTTTATTGATAGGCAAGCCCGTATCGGTTGGAGCGCAAGCTCTATGTGCGCTTCTGGGGCTGGTGGCTAGACCACGACTGCCCGCAGTGTGCAGATGGCGCTGGGCTCACGTCAGCGAGGAGATTGTACTGTCCGCCGGTCGCGCTCGTCGGTTTCTTAATCCTTATCAGGTTGGCAAGGTGCGACATACCCCACGAACCAAAACGGGTAGAACATCCACATTGCATTAATCTTTTACAGTTTTCTGTCATGTGACGTGTGACGTCGGACATCAATTGGTTATTTAACTGGAACTTCAGTTCGAACCCCGTCAGGCAAAAACGTCAAGATGGCCAGAGGTCATATTATAAAGCAGAATCTAACTGTGAATGACCTTTGAACTAGGTCAAACGGGTGCATTTTGTGAATATCTGTATGGCCTCGAACATGCAAATAATCCCTGTGTATCTTCACAGTCTCGTCATTTTTTTTTCGATTACCTTCCATTAGCAAGGAACACGGGACAAGCAATGGGAGCTAGTGAAGCTTGTGCCTCGTTTTACACAAATGCCATTATGAACGCTCTGTTCTGTCTCTACCTGGCACGATAGGTTTCCGTTGAATGTTTTAACCCTCGCCGGCCGAGTGAGAGTGAGAGAAAAAAGTAAAAAGTAAGGGCCCCTTACTTTTTTCGCGATTTCTCGGAACGATAGAGAGCTGAAACCTGGCCACTATTGATTCACGCAAGATTTCGTGACACCAGCTGCATTTTTAAGGTCACGTCACTGACATATGACGTCATAACTGAGCGGTCCAAAACTGTTGCAAATTCGCAACACCCTCAGTCTGCTGGAGAAGATTTCACAGAAAGATGAAACTTATACGACCTAGTATTCTCCAGAGGCCTCACAACCTGTATATCTCATATTTTTTTCTAAGGGTCATCTAAGGTCAGGTCGGTTACTTGACCTCGCCATTACAAGTCAATTGGGGGAAATATGAAAACTGTTATTTTGGCGCTGGAGGTGAGCTAAACCGCTTCAAGCAGATGGAATTGTGATTTCATGCACTTCTTGCAAGGTCCGACGTTTCACTTTTGCATCGTTGACCTTGCATGATGTCATTTATGACGTCACTAAGTTCATAAGAAGATCCTCAATACCTCCCGATTGAATAGCGCTTGCGATTCGTTAGCCCTCGCCAGGCGAGGGCCTTTTCCATAACACGGACGGCGAGGGGGGTTGGTACGACCCCCCCCTAACCTTCGCCCCCTCGCCGGGCGAGGTTTAACCCTATTAGTGGCAGGCTCCCCTGGCTACCCCTATTAGTGGCAGGGGGGGGCTGCTTACGACCCCCCCTGATATCTCGAGATCTAACGGGCTGATTTTCAAAATTCAAACGGCATTCGATTTCGCTCAACGTGATCTACATTTCTAAAAAATAAAAATTAAAAAATGTCAATAGGGGGTAGAGGGGGGTAAAAACGGGCAAATCGCAGATACATTTTAGACTGTTTATCACGGCCAGGTTTCTGAACCAATCTTAACGCAACTTTTGCCGATCGATAGAGAATGAACCAGGAATTCACATGGATCCTAAAAATATGCATTTTCAAAAATCATAGGCGGATACAGATCATTGAGATTGGGGGTACACAAAAAGTATAGTAAATAAGGTTTTTGTTGGTACTGTTTCTAAAAAGGGTGGTAATGGTCTTGTTATGTTACAATTTTCTTATGAGAGAACGACTACAATTGTATTGGTCATGCATAGGCGGTGTCAGGGCACCTATGTTGGGAGGTAAAACATAACCCCCCCCCCCTTTTTGGACGCCTGGATCCGCCTATTATAGCAAAAACGTGTCAAAAGAGGATGCACAATAACTTTGTATATGTTATCACATATTCACTGTTCGTAAAACTGGTGCATACAGTTATAATACATCAGCATCGTGATCTTCGCCCAAATGACTCGCTTCACGAATAGGACCCCCCAATTCCCAGTGCTCTGGAGCCGCCCCTGGTAAATTTATGAACTTGAAATTTTCAGGGAATATGCCCAATTTAGTTTTAGGAAAAGTCAGAAAATTTCAGCATCGTAGCTTCAGCGGTTTCGGAGATATTCCCGAAAAACCTGAGAGGTGGATGAAAACAACCCCCCCCCTGCCACTAATAGGGTTAAAGGTATCAATGGACTCGGGAGTCGGGAAGGTTTTTCGGATCGAATGACATGCTATACATATATCTTTCGACTAACTTCGTGACCTGAGTGGCTGTGACCTGACCTTGACCTGAAGTCTACTCTCTAAGTTAATCTCATCCAACCAAAATTATATGTATCATTCGACGCGCCTGAGTATGAAGAATTCGATGGTGCCGAAATCGCAGCGCTTCGATCCCTTTTGGCGAGGCTATTTGCCATACCTACCTAAGCCAATTCCGTACGTTGGGGTACTCGACCTGACCTCAGAGGTCACCAGTTGACCTGAGTCCTGTCCTGATAATCGGGCAGCGATCGCTCCGTCTCTAGCGGCGCACATGCTTGTCTTTTTTTGCGAGACTATATAACTAGAAAAACGATATTTCCGGCGAGGGTTAGTGTCAGACGATTGTAAACCTGATCCCACGTTATTATCGAGGTCATGTATCGTCATGTAAGGCCAAAAAGTGGCTTTTGATAATTATTTTTTGCTTGAAACAACTACTGCGGCACTGCCACGGTACGATCATCGGACATCGAGGTCAACATAACAATACGGATGGACTATAAATGCTAAGTTTTTCAGTAACCATGACTTTGACCTGAGGTCTAATCTTCTGGTAAAACGTCTAGCCCCCGCCGTGGTTTTAGCCCTCTTCGAGGTTTTTCGCATATCTGTATCTCGAAACTGAGATGCGTCACCTTATCGTAGGGTAAGGTGCCTAATTAGCGACCCCCTTAATTTGAACCGTCATTGCTCACGCTCTATGGGTGCTACTGTATTACTGGCTTAATTTTCGGATAGATCGTTCATTTTTCTATAAAAATCTACTTATTTTCTCTCCCAATATCCACTAATTTATTTATAGTGAGCATTTTGGCAAACCATTGCAAAAACGTTAATAGGGAACTCGTCCCGATAAGCGACCGGGGAGGGTCGCTAATAGGTCTATGGGTTTTCCCATAATAAAAATAGTAATAAAAAAATCGACGCCCGAAAAGTTGAAATATGATCCCAAAAAGGCAGCCTATTCCCAAAGCACTCAATCACTGGAACAGGAGCGTTTATCCAACAACTTAATGAAGATGAAAACTGATCACGTGATGCACCAAAGGCGAAAAGAAGGCCAAAACCCAAATTTTACGGGCTATCTCGTATGATATTCGGGACCCGCCCTGGATTCGGCACCCCTGCAGTCGGCGAAAACAGTTGGCATCACTTGCCACACATCGCAAGCTTCAGCAACACTTCATTTTTTCATTTTCTCTCTTTTCCCCTTTCTTTCCCTTATCGAGCTATTTGCGACCATGTCGGGCGCAAATAGGAAATGTGGGTTCCGATACATGTTTTACTACTAGTGATGTCAATTGCAGAAAATCGTAATACCGATACCAAACCAAATACCAACCAAAACCGTGGGGAAATACCGAAACCGAACCACCTTTGTAAAATGAGGGAAATAGTCGGAAATGCCAACTTTTTACCAATTTCTTAGCCTCTTATACATTAGTAAGGGTTCATAATACCAACAAAACACCAAACACATTAGTATTGAAATACCAAATACCAAGTTGGTATCGGTTTGGTATCGGTATACCAAAAAGTTGGTATCCGATTGACATCTCTATTTACTACCATTCAGTGCACAGTAAAGCGATTCATTCCGGGAAAACGGCAATCAATTGAAAAAGGATTGTCGATTCAGAATAAAAAAGGTGCATCATCTTAACCCTCGCCGGTCAGGCCATTTTGAGTCCTTCGACGGCACAAGGGTGGGGGGGGGGGGGGGGGGGGGGGGTACGACCCTCCCCCTCGCGTTTGGCCCCTGATGGAGCTAGAGCTTCGCGAAAAAAACGAGCGTGTTGCCCGTCACGAGAGCAAGCCAATGATACCCAATTTTAAGGTACTAGGTCATCGGTTGACCTTCCAGGTCAGGTCAATGACCCAAAAATCGGGAATATCGGGACCTGTTAGAAAGTCTAAAGTGTGGCTGGTGAGGGGTTTTCCGGGGTGCTGATCACTAATATCGTGTTAGTTTTGATCACAGATGATGTCGTTAAGCGTTTAGACCAGGTCGGGTCAGGTCAGGTCAGGTCAACCGGTAGGGGTCTTGACGGGTATTCGTAGTACCTGTCATCCGCCTCTGACAGCTTCGTAACATGTTACGAAGGCACCAAAACTATTTCGTAAATGTTCAAATGGTTGCTAAATTCGAATTCAGCTCCAAAAACTAGCCTAGAAACATGTAAAACTCGAAAAAGTGAACCGAGGTCACCAAGGTCAATGACCTGACCTGACCTTCAGGTGACCTTAACACCCACCCTTATGCATGGGAGCAACATCAAATCACATGTTTGAACGTTTGAAACCACGAAAAGCTTGCAAACGCGCGGCTAATGCGAGCCGACATACGCCGAATCGCGATTCCGGCCAAACATGGTCTCGGAAAAGAGGTCACAGGTCAAAGTTCATTTGGGTCAGGGTCATGAAATTTTCAGGGTATGTGCAGAATTGATCAATGCGAGGGTACTGAAAGTTTTTTTCGCAATCGGCCGCTTTTTACGCGAGTTATTCGCGAAAAACCTTAGGAGGGGTTGCATCACCCCCCCCCCCCCCTGTGCCGGCGAGGGTTAACCCTCGCACGACCAGGCCATTTCTCATAACACGAACGACCAGGGGGGGGGGGTTGTTACGACCCTCCCCCCCTGGCGTTTCGAAACGGAAGGTCGTAGAGCTTAGCGGAAAAAACCAACGGATTGCTCTCAACGAGATCTCGCGATTGGTGGTATATTTTTTGGTCCTAGGTCAACATTTGACCTACTTATGACCGGTCAAAGGTCAAATTTTCCGAAAAAATCAAACTTTTTCAACTTTCCGCGGCGATTGCGGCAAAACGGTGGGAGATATCGCACTATCGTGTTCCTTGATCAATTCTCTATCGTTTGGTATGTATTTCGTTTCCCTAGCTCTAAAAATGGCGCGTTGGGAGCGCCGGAAGTCGGCAAGGTCACAGTCGGCGGCAGAAATTCGAAAAATCAAAATTTAAATTTTTGAAATCTGATTGTATTTTTGGATTTGGGAGGTCCATTTGCTCCCTATAGAAGCTAATATTGCTGCATATTCCCATTGAGGTGACAAGAATTAGCAAAATAGTGGTTCGGGCGCTTTTCAAAAATAGTACCGGACGCTGTTCCTCTTGTGACGTCATAGCTCCGTGACCTGACCTGACCCGGTCAATTTTCTTGCACCACACGATAGCCAATGCTTGCCCCAACATGCATGGGAAGTTTCATCATGATCCATCAAACAATGTGGGTATCACCGGCAGAAAACCTAGGGATTCGGCGCACACGTTTGGTAACTGTCGGCCGGAGGCTGTACCTCTTATGACGTCATAACTCCGTGACCTGACATGACCCGATCAATTTTTTTCGGCAAAAGATGCGCAAAGGTTGCCCCAGAGGGTATTGAAAATTTCAGCCCGCTACGACAAGCCGTTTAGCGTGCACTTCGAAAAAACCTAAGGGGGGGGTTGATACAACCCCCCCCCCCCCTAGGCGTTCTAGGGTTAATGTGCATCGCTTTTCAGCAGATAGGGTCCAAATGCATACGTGTTTGGATAAGAAACTGGTCATTTTTATCTAAACTCCCCTAGACCGTCCCACCAGAAGCATCGACAACCGAAAAAGAATTTAGTTTGATAACCAAAGTATGGCATACCTTTTGGCATTGTTTTCATCCCGATTTCTCTTGCCAGGTTTTCTGTAGAGAGGTAGGTCGCAAATAGGAAATGATCGCTAATTAGGCACCTTACCCTACACGTTTACCAACCTGTCGTGGACCTTGCAGACCGAGGTAATTCCACTTGTCACCACTTACCAGGTCCGGTCACAAATAACCTCGCCTGTCCTGTCATGGATGACATCGCCACAAAGAAACAGGCATGTGCTCGCCGCGCCGTAGTTCCGCATGCTCGTAAAAGCTATTTACTTTAAAGCTTTCAGCGATTGATTGGGATGACGGGATGCATAAAGAATGTATTTCGGACTTTTTCTTTCGGTGGCCTAATGTCAAGTCATGACCATTTCGTCACAAGTGAATTTGGTTGAACCGAACTACTTCTCATTCGAACGAAAATCATACTAAAGCATTCAAACATCGGTTGACAGGTTTAGCGTCGCCAGCCGATTGAGGTGGCTGGTTAGCGGCTGGTGCTATACATGTCCAGCCGTTTTCCTCGCGATTTCTCAGAACGTTTCGGTGAAAGATAGCTAAAAGTTGGCTTGCCTGGTTTTTAACAAAGTCGCAACTGAATACACGAACCGCAATTTTAGGTCAGGTCAGGTCACTGCCTTATGTTGTCATGAGTGTATCTCTTCACGGTTCAAAAACGTTGCAACTTCGCAACGCCCTCAGTGTCATGGGATCCCTAATGCACTGAAATAAAGACCCGGAATGATAAAAAACACCCGGCCGAATCATCAGAGCCTGCATAGCTTTTGTCAGGGTCGTCTGAGGTCGGTCACATGACCTCACTATTACAAAATCAGGAAATTTAAAAACTGCTTCTGTGGAACCGGCATGTAGGCGGACACCGTTCCACACAACTGTAAGTTTGTAAAACGTTTTTCCGTTCCTACAAAGCGTGAGACGTTCCTCGTCATTCCGATCCTTTGTATCAATGTAAGGAAGTCCGCAGTCTTGCTTGACTACAGCAGGCCCATGACAGATGTCAAATGACCCTCTGACCTCACACTGGCTACGCCTCTTATTCATTCCCCTTGAGATGGAAGGGAAACTTTGTTGCCTTTGGGCAGCGCACCATGTTTAACCAAGCGAATAAGTAACATACAATTACCAATGAACCAGGCACAGTTCACGGATTACTGCGATACTTTTATCACCGACAATAAAATTACGTTTTTTTTTAATTTTGCACATGCATCATACCAAGACAGACACTAATTAAATCGCCAAGACAACTAAGCCTACAACTAAAGTCACCAACTAAGCCTGTCGAGACAGCAGGCCGCCAGCAAACCTACGAAGACAATTCTTTTCGATGAGTTGAGTTGGCTCTCCAGCGAGCCGCCAACTAAAGCTGCAGCGCCCTCGGGCTGGTATAGTGATCAATCGCTAAACGTATGTACCTTGTACCAGCTGGGTCAACCACCAGTCAGCAACGGAGGAACGAAGAAGCGGGGGAACAGACCATAGAAACGCATTGGGAGCTGTCTCGTTCGATACTGTTTTAAAAAGGCTTCTCGTGGAACTGAGGAGCGGAGGATCATACCACACTCACTTACGGGGCCCACTAGACATGATAACTCTCAAGTATAGGTATATAATCGTAAATTTTTTGCCCGTATTCTTTGGGGCATAAAATTTTACATCCATTTGAACCCTGCTTGCAAGGTATCTTTAGGCTTCGTACTTAGCAATGGACCTTGCATGCCGATTGGCGATTGCCGTCATATGCGAGCATAGCGTCAGTAAGGTGAAAGGTCTTATGTATTAAAATTTAAGAAATGTATTAATGAAATGTATTTATGTCTAATGTATTAATGTCTAATGTATTCATCATGTCTAAGAAATTAATCATGAAAATGGCACGATTGTATTATTTCAACACTTAAAAAGACCGAAACACATAATAATTCTCCTAGATTCTCTGTTTCGATCTTTTTTAAGAGCTAAAGTAATACATTTGTGCTATGTTAATAATCAATTTCCTTCCCATTAGGTATATTTAGGTTAAAGGTCGTTTGAGGTCAGCGGACTTTTCCGTCAATAACACCCGAAAAAAAAATTAGTTAGCGAGTCGAAAAAGACACTAATAGAGGGAGCTGTGAAATCGAGTGATATGATCTCTCTCGACCAGCTTTGCGACCTGAGCGACTTTGACCTGAATAAATGAATTTGACCCATGGACAACATTCACGATGATCTTTCTCATTAAGAAAAAGTATCATTTGGCGGCACGATGATGCCAAAATCACAGCTCTGCGATCATTTTTAGTTCCACGATATTTGTGTGAAAAAGAAACTGAAAGAACCAAAATGTTTCCTCCGCCACCGCGTCGGTTTTACCATGAGTTGGATGGTTATAAGATACCAACAGCACAACCGCTAGCGTGCTCCTTTTTCATTCGTTGTTTGAGAGTAGGTGCTTTTTGTTTTTGCTACGATCAAACGCTTTAAAAATGCATTGCTTTATTATTGTTTGCAACTGGGAAGTAAGTACCACAACAAAAGGCCTTTTAATTACTCGACGGGTGCGTCTTACCCCAGATTACCCTGCAATTTAACTATCATCGAAGCATGATTATTTTACCGTTTTCAGTGGTGCTGGTATTAGCAGTCAGTGGTGCTGTGCCTGCGTTTTTAGGTATAAAGTTTGATGCTGAGTAGTTGAATGATGAACATTCTTCTAAACTGTATATTCTGTTACCCCTGATTGCAGTAATTCGAGGGGCACGTCAGCTTCAGCAGTACCAGGGCATTTCCATAACTTTCGAAGGAGTGGATTTTACCCCCGGTTATATTAACCGGACGATGATGTCCCCGTCCCAGAATGCGCTACTTTTGCGTTCCTTGGCTTCCAGCAGATCCATCTCCACAAGCTGTAATTGACTTGCAGCATCATTCGGTGTTTAGTTTGGTTGCTGGCTTTTCTTTGAGCCGATATTGTTTCAGTCGACTGTAGTGCTCCTCGCTCCACATATAGCTACTGCTTCTATTGCACTCTATTTTGGTATCATAACTTCATATCATCCTTTGTCGAGCCTGTTGCACAGCACGGGGCGGCCAGAAGACACAGCACCCGGCTACCTCCCTTCTCCCTGCTCCGATCGACCGCCGGGTAGCCAGCAGCGCGCCGCCCCCGGCCGCCCCACGCTCATCCACCAATCGATTGTCGTTGGCGGCAGCCCATTGTGTGCGCCGCCCGCCCCGCCTCCTGGGCGGAGCCTAAGCAGCGCCCGCCCCGCCAGGTAAGCGGCCGCCCGGCGCGCCGCCATGGCCGGACAGTGTCCACCTCGCGGTCGCCTCTGATTGAGCCTGCCCGCCGCCGCCGCCGCCGCCGCGGTCAGTCGCAGTCAGTCGCAGAGCGGCGCGGGTTTCAGTGACGGAGCGCCGTGCAGTCGCGACCGGACGCTGGTGACGGGAGGTGACGGTGCGCGTGACGAGCTGCGCCCGTGACGCTGAGCGGACAGTGACGCCCGGTGTTGGAGACCGCACTGTGAGCGGACTGTGAGTGGTGCACGCCGAACTGTGAGCGGTAGAGTGAGATATTTCTGTGGCGGTCAGACCACCGAGCGGTGAGCTGAGTTCCTCAGTGCCCGGTGGTGATTGTGAGTGCCGCCGCCGCCGCCGCCGCCGCCGCCGCCCGCTGCCAGTCGCGGGCTCATGTGCTGACCATGAGCTGCGCCGTGGCCATGTATCAGCCGTTCCACGCTCCGTACTATCCGGCGCCGGCGACGGCCACCGGCTCCGGCGGCCGGCCCTCGCCCGACGCGTCGGTCGCCCCCGCCCCCGCCCCCGCCCCCGCCCGCCATGGCATGGAGGAGAAGGTGAGAGACCGCTGGGCGGCGGAAACGGGCCGAGGGCGCTGTGTCATGAGCGCTGATAAATTCTGCTTTCAGAATAGACATCACAACTCATACACCTTTGTGTGCATATATTGATATTTGTTATATAAGTTCGTAGATAATTTAAATGAAAGCTTAAAAGAAATACCTATATTATTTGATGTGAACTCATTAGTAGGTACACATGAATCATTATACTAACTTGACTTTAACACTAATTAGAAAGCGGATGACGTGTGTCCCTGCCATTTAAATAACAGTAGATACAATTACATGTTTGAATTGGACACTCACTGGCGGATGCAAATTCAAATTATGATTCCAATTAGCTAGTTTAAATGCATAAATATATTTTAACGAGACATTTATGCTACATATAATGTCAGAGTGCCAAAGAGTAGCGTACCTCTGTTGAGTTGCACTGCGACTAGGGCTTGGCCAGTTGACAAAAAGGCATGTGAAGGGCACTCGGAAGTGGTTGCATTCGCGTTGATTGCGTTTAATCGCAGTCGTATAATTTTATTAGTGACACATTGTCTGCATTGGTATATTTAGTTTCCCCCAACGAAGCGACAATTAATGCTGTTGATAGCCTGCATGCAGCAAGGGTGTTCAAAATGTTCTTCAGTCCTCATATTATCTTGCAAGTGATTATCATTTGCCATCGAGTCCGCCTCACACTGTAAATGCGGCAAAACAACGCTTATTCCCAGTTCTGTAGGAAGGAACGCACATTTATTCAAACAAAGCGTGTCATGAGGTATGCGGCTGTTCCGTGACCCAGTCGGATGTGGGGCGGGCTACATGCTACGGGCCGCTGCACTCGTCACTCGTCACCCATCACCCGTCAACAGTCACCCATCACCCACCACCCGTCAACGGTCAACCGTCAACGGTTGTGCTCCATCTGACAACAGCGTTATCTGGCTCTGTTGCTCCCCGCTACTCCCCATTGCTGGCTGCCCTCTGGCCCTGTTCACTGTTCTTTCACCATCCGCTGTTCGCGATCGGCCACCCTGCAGCTGCCTGTTCTGCTCTCCGTTGTTGTTTTTTTTTCTGCAGTTCCCCATCATCGGTTCTTAAACTACCGGTCCCGCTATCTGTCTTCTGCTTCGGTTATTGTATGCTCACTTCCATTGTCCCTTCTCCCTACTGATTGTTCCGTTATGAAGGTATGCTCCCTGATTCTTATCATTGACCCAGCCCTCACCCTTCCGTTCCATCTCCGCAGTCTGGCCTCGCTGGCCTGCCCGTTCCTCTGCTATGGGTTCCCGCTTCATGATCTCATGCACATTACACAGCGCTGTGTACCACGCGTATTGCAGCTCTCCTTCCCAGAGCCTTGCTATCTGTACGCATGCTTCCTAATCCTGTTACTTGATACCCTGATATCCTTGCTCCCTCTGTTCTGCTTGCTTCTTCACCCTTGCTTCTCGCTGCCTGTTCCTTTGCCTCCCGCTGTCGGCTCGCTGGCGCCTTGCTGTCGGCTCCCACCCATCCCAACTGACTGTGACTATAATATGTTGTGCTCAATCTACATTGCACGCTACTGCACTGCCAGTTTCAGGTCAAACGGCAGCCGCCGCCACCGACGCCACTCCTTTGCTACGGAGCGGTGCCAGCTCATTCGTGCACCCCGCTTGTCGGGCCGACGGGCGGGGGACGGGCGGGGGTACGGCCATGTACGTGCTGGTGAGAGGGCGTGCATGCTCCGCCAGCTACCGTATCGCTACCGAGAGCGGAGTGCCATCTCCCGTCTAGTGGACGCTGGTCTCCGGCTGGCCTGGAGCGGGTCCAAGAATCCCCTCCCCCATGTCAAGGCTGGCGACTCGGGCCGCAGAGCCGGGACTGTGTCCGACTCCTGACATTGTTCCCAGTGATCTGTTGTGACATTTGCGGCGACTGATGAACCGTTAACGTAATGTAGCGCGCCTATTATCCATAGCTCAACGGGCGATGTCGCAGTTCGGTAATGATGCGAATGCCGGCACGGCGTTTAAGAGCTGTAAATGTGTTTGGTTTTGTGGGCTGATGGCCTGCGACGAAAATAACATGTTCTGATGAAATGTGCATGGAGATAAGATGAAGGGAGCCTACCAAATGAATTGATAAACATTGAGATAAGATTGAGGCTGCAGTTCCAGCAGATGCAAGTTGTAAAGATTACGTGTTTGTGCGTTTCACATGAACGAGCGCAAGCTGGCAATAATCATTGTGAATATCTCGCATTACATTTCTGAAACTGGCCTTCTGCCATTATTATCTCTTTTTCAGAAACATCAAACGTGAGCTCAGACTAATTGACTGTGCGTAATCTAAATTAGGTACTGAACAATTTGATTTCATGAAAAAGCCTGTGAGCACTAAGCTTTACTGCGGTCTCACCTTATTTTCATCCAGTCCCTGAAGAACTCTATGCCCAGATTAGGGGTCTGACCGATAACAATAGAAAACACAATTCTAACAAATAGTGTTTGTCTATTTCAAACAACCTGCGGTTATAATCTGCGTAGCGGGTCTCCCGTACTGCGTGGGTAGCACCACACTCTTCGTCAGCCTTTCATCGTCGTACTGAGCACTGAGCAGTGATCTATGCTGGTTGCCGAGGCAGCCACTCCCGTAGCGGTCCACCGCTCTGGCTTTTGCCCAACGCCATCGTAGCTGCCATCTAGCGCTGGTTTCCTTGCCGTCTTTCCCACCCAGCCCAGCGCTGGATTCAGTCAGCTAGCCAATTTTCGTCACTTCCGGCGCTGGTTCCTATCTTATTTTGCTGTCCTCGCTACCGCACGCAGTTCATCGCTGACTTCTGCTCTGCTGCTCGATCTAACGTTAGTTTCTTAATCATCCTGACCGCTCAGCGCTGGTCTCTGCCCTGGTCCGCTCCTTCTACTGCTGTCCATGCAGTGCTTGTTTTTGTCCTAGCCCACCCTTGCCGCTATTTGCCGCTGGTTTCTGCTTTTTCCCCCACCCAGCGCCGATTTCAGTCCTCTGCCGCCGCTGCCGCCCGTGGTCGGTCCGATGACTCGGTCGTAGCCTCATTAGGCTCCGGTGACACGCCGGTCGACATAATGTGTGCTGTGATTAACAGACTCTGAGCCGACGGTCGACACACCGATTGACACGATATATGGCCAGCAGTCGGGTGTCGACTCGCTAAGTGACCTCACACGCATCGCATGGTGATGCTGATGGCTGGGTCACACTACTACGGGGTGACGTGAAGGACCAGCGTGGAAATTTTGTCGTTCGCTGAAAACCCAAAGGCAATCTACTCGTTTAATAGAAGGCTACAACTTCCAAATTAGATGTAAAGTGATATAGCTTGCATGATGGAACCGGATTGTGGGCAGCCTCTCCTCACTTTTTATTAGCTTGCCCTATACAGCAGCCCCCGTTCACGAGCTCCAGAATCTCTTTACCGTGAATGTCACCACGGCGGTAAAATCTCCCTTCACCCATAGGCATGCATGCAAATTTCATCATCTCTCGAGCGAGCTGCAGGAAAAAAACAAGGATTATGTGTCATCAAAAGTTGTGTACCAATGTAACAATGAGTTCGCCTCATTACGATAAATGGGGCTGAAACTACAAAAATAGGACTATATGGAGCCAAAATCAGCAATTCAAATGACCCCTTCATTTCCTCTGATGACGTCACCACGGCGCCTTTATTTCCCTAGTGAACCAACCTGAGTAGTAAAGGAATCTTGCTCTACAGTTGCATTTGAATTTACCCTTACTCATGTTCGAGCATCCAATGACCCTTCTATCCCCTAACATTCAGTTATTTCCGTATTCTACCCATCTCCCTGGTTCTGATTCAAATCTTCACTCACGCCCCATCATGCCTCCCACGCTTCTCCTCATCCACAGCCATGTCCGGCCTCGGCTTCCCCTGTACAAGACACCGTTCAGACCTTCCTGTGACCTGTCTTCTGTGGCCAACCGGAGGAACTGCGACGCTTCCCTAACCATTGACACTTCCCCCAAGCAATGACACTTCCCCGATTCTTGACACTTCTCCGAGCGCTGACACTTCCCCTAAGCACTGACACTCCCCGAGCACTGACACTCCCCGAACACTGACACTCCCCGAGCGGAAACACTTCCCGAGCACTGACACTCCCCGAGCGGAAACACTTCCCAAGCACTGACACTCCCCGAGCACTGACACTCCCCGAGCACTGACACTCCCCGAGCACTGACACTCCCCGAGCACTGACACTCCCCGAGCGGAAACACTTCCCAAGCACTGACACTTTCCCAAGCGTTGACACTCTCCGAGCGCCGACACTTCCCAAGCACTGACACTCCCCGAGCGCCGACACTTCCCCGATCAGGCCCCTGCGTGTCCTCTCTCACCCCACCTGTGGCCTCCGCGGTCTCCACACCTGTCTGATCAGCCGCACGTCTCTGCGGTGAGCAGATCTCACCAAGGCAGGTGGTCACAGACCGATATGGAGAAGATTGTGCGCCGAACACGACTTGGAGGACTGGTCGCGCGTACTGATTCCGCTTTATGGGTGTTGGAGTATAGGACAGGTGGAGAGCGTAGAGCGAGACAGGCAGCGGCTGGCCTTTAATTTACAAGAACATGATCATGTGATGCTCACTTTCTGAGCTTGTATTATATGACAAAGGCAGACTGGCATTTTTTTGTGTGACGAAGAGCAGCCTTTGTCTAAAATAAGCTACTGTGCATATTGCGGTGAGCAAAATCAATATACCTATTACGAGCAAAAATGTATGATGTGATATGGTCACAGACGCTGGTTTGACTTCTAGTAAGCTTCGTTTGTCTGAGTGCAAAAATCGTAGCTCACGACTGGGTATGATATGCGCAGGTGTTTCGGCTGAGAGCGTGGGCTGCGGTCGTTGAAGACCGCTGGACACCTGGGCCACCGCTGTTGGTTAACACGCTATAATTAGCCAAATTAACCACAACAGACCGAGTAAATGCAGCGCAATGCGCATTGTGGGCGGCGGGCGCCGATACTGACTAAGGACAAGTTATGAGCGTGGACTGTATAAAGGATATTGAAGACTGTTCAACACTTGCACACCTCTGAGATGTTGTGGAAGTTGGAAGGACACAGCTGATAATGTCCTAAAATATTTTGTCAGCATTCAGTGCCGAAGGGTATAGGGCCCATGCTTTGGATAGCCATTAGCAGGCTTAATTTGCCACCCCTCTCTCCCTCCTTAGTCCTTTGTCCTCTCTCTCTCTCTCTCTCTCTCTCTCTCTCTCTCTCTCTCTCTCTCTCTCTCTCTCTCTCTCCATATCTCTCCTCTTCCTCCCTATCTTTCCTCCCCTCTTCTCCCTTCTCCCACGCCGTAAATGGACAGGTGCTCGGTTCGAAGGTGTACATCTGACGCGGGACAAACCGGCAGCCGGCCGCTGTGTGGGTGTACAGACACACAGACAGACACACAGACAGACACACAGACAGACACACAGACAGACACACAGACAGACACACTGACACAGACAGACACGGATAGACAGCCCTGCGCAGTAACCGTTCCGTGCGTCCGTCGGCCGCTACAGATCCGGTCTAAGCCTCGCGGGTACATATTTTCGCGTATGTTCTGCGTATATATAGAGGTCTTCGGACTTGTGTTATGTGGACAGAGCCTCGGAAGTCGGGGGGATGTTCGGTGTATAGGGAGGCGCACAGAGGTAGGCGCGCTGTGGTTTTGTCTCTTGTTAGGTTATGAAACATGCTGTTTGAAACTGAACAGGTTCAAAGCCAGCGATGTTATAGCGCCTCATAATTTATTTTTGTATTCGTCTCATTAGATGTTATGTATTTACCTCACTTGTCATTCGCATTCACTTTTTGCCTTGTGATACGAAATCAAGCCAAGAGTGTGTTAAAATGAAATATGATGATGAAATAAACCAAGAATCATTTTGGGGTATTGATTTTCAAAGGGGGGGGGGGGTCGCACGGGTCCGGACCCCTCTCCAACACACTATTTTCGTTTCCGTAATGTATTATCAAGCTGCATATGTTTGTAAGGATGTGCATTTTCGGGGTCGCCTCCCCCCGCAAGCCCTGAGAGCCCCTGTTTTGGACACTTATCAGTAGCCGTTTTCACGACGGGCTATCCGGCGAATGCACCTGATTTGACCAAATCTGCACCTTATTTCTTTTACAGCAAATATCTTCATTTTGTGAATTTATTTCAGTGTTATAACCGATGATGCTCTCTGATAATATGACAAAGCAGGCATATAAGCAATAGAGCAACCCTACTGTTAACGCCAGACCCCTTGAGACCCTAATTTTTCGCGATTACTTTTAAATGCGTGAAGGAATTTCAACCAAGCTCAGGACATGGCCGTTTCAAGACAGGCCGAAACTTTTACAATTTAGATATTTTATCGCCATTTCAATATTTCAGGCACTTGTCATTGACTCGTAATGTTAACTGTTTTTCCATCCTGGATAGAGGCTTTCTACGTCATATGACATTAGGCTCCGCCCACGACTGCGGCATTGACCCGTGCCCATCAGCGACCTCTGTACAAACGACACCCCTGCCATCTGTGAAGGACTATGAATTTCGCTGACGCTTCACGTGCTATGAGTCAATTGCAGCAGACGGTCAAGTAAATGTTAGGCTCTTGTTGACTCTTGTATATAGGACCAAGAGGACCATCACTCCTCAACCTACTACTCAGTCGTGCTTCGAACAATTGTTAACGATTCCTAACAAATACGATTTTCGATGTAGGGTATCTGTGTGAAATACGAGCGAGCCGTATGATGTGAAGCTCAGGCAATTAACTTATTATTGCGTTGTTCGATGGTTGCATAGCGATGTACAAATCGGCAGCTACTTGGTGACATCCGACATCCCATTATCGCATTATCTGCAACGCCATAGGCTTTAAATACAGGTGAATATTTCCCAACCTTATGTCAGTTATGTGCCATCTGCCCGTCATATGCAGCTTATAAAAAAAAATATCAGCGAACATATCAGCATTGTAGAAGCAATGCGCATTGAGCATTTATGACTCCTTAGTCATCATGTCGCTCTCTGGGCACTGTCAGCCAAGACGCTACGCACAACTCCGCCGGCTTTCGGCACCGCTCGACCGTCGCCCGTCCCCGCTCCCCGCCACAGCGAGAGTGACCGCGCGCCGGCCCGAAACCGCCGCAGGCCAAGACCACAGAGGCGGGGCTTAGCTGTGACGTCATAACGTATCACAGACTGACTGGTGATAGCCTCTACACACCGGATGAAAATCTTGCTCGAAATTTAACATTACGAGTCAATGACAAGTGCCTGAAATATTGAAATGGCGATAAAATATCTAAATTGTAAAAGTTTCGGCCTGTCTTGAAACGGCCATGTCCTGAGCTTGGTTGAAATTCCTTCACGCATTTAAAAGTAATCGCGAAAAATTAGGGTCTCAAGGGGTCTGGCGTTAACAGTAGCTGATAGCTGCTGGGGCATTCCACGATAGATCGACCAAAGCCGTACACCCTCATATTTTATTTTTTGCTTAAAATTGGTCCAATGGGTTGTTATGGGCGGGGAAGCCAGCTGTGCCAAGGATTTTTTTCTTCGAACAACTGTTTCCGAGATATAGCCTCAGGCAATTCCTGGAGGTCACGCTGCAACCCTATGTTTGGCGGCTCATAACTCAGAAACTATTGGTTTTATTGGTAAAACGGCTCTATTGGTCCGTTTTTGGCTGTACCTTTTGATCTAATAAAGAAAGAGACGTAGAATAGGCACCAATCCGTTTTCTTTCGCCTAGCGCCAGTTTGTTTTGAATTTCGATACCGATGACCTGAGGTCAGGTCAATTTCTTGACCACCCCATTATAAGTCAATTGGGGAAAAATCAGCTCCCTTATTTTTACACTAAAACGCGTCGGAATTGCCTAATATACCATGAGTGACTCCATATGCGACTAACTTTGACTACCTTGAGACCTTTTTTGCTCTTGGTCAGCTGTGACGTTGCTCTTGGGTCATGCGACGTCATTAAAGGTCACCAAATGTTTTTTGCTAATAATTCCTTACAGGTTTGAGATACAGCCGCGCGGATAGGCTCATTGTGTTCAGCTCGTCAAGGCCCATCGAATGATATATATGATGACCTTAAGGTCACGTGACCTAAGGTCAACTTTTGACCTTGGCCTTTCGAGGTCAACATACACATTTTTCGATGCGGATCGACGAGAGGATCACGATGGTGCTATTAGTTTGTTCCTAGCTGGGATACTTCGAAAGTTATTCGAGAAAAACTTCATATATATGTAGTGCCGCCATTTAGACTTTCTTTTTACCCCTGTGACGTCATCTTTGACCTGACCTGAAAATGACCTGAGTAAAAATTGTAGATCTTATCCATGTGTACCCTGTGCCGTTTACCGTTTGTCGCTATCTTGCTTTGTTCTCGAGATCTCGCTGTCGCTCCCGCTCGTAATAATGGGAAGGTCATAAAAATGACCTGACCTGAGGTCAACGCAGGCCGAAAGCCACTTTTTTATTATCGCATATGAATGACAATTGATAAGGCTTTAATCGTCATCAGACAAAATTGCGACTTTCAGTTGGGAAAATATCAAGGTCACTCTTCAAAAAAAAGGTCAAGATGTCACGTGATCAAAATTTTCAAAAATTGAAAGTCCGAGATAGCCAAAACGTTTGTTGGTTGATTGCGAGTTGAACCATATCAAGTTTTACCACAGGAAATCAATAGTTTCTGAGTTATAAGCCGCCAAACATAGGGTTGCAGCGTGACCTGCAGGAACTGCCCGAGGCTATATCTCGGAAACCGTTGTTCGAAGAAAAAAATCCTTGCCACAGCTGGGTTCCCCGCCCATCACAACCCATTAGACCAATTTTAAGCAAAAAATAAAATATGCGGGTGTAAATTTTAAGTTTTTTTTGGTCGATCTATCGTGGAATGCCCCTGCTAAGAGACACACTGAACCTGATTTGACCAGATCTCCACCTAATCTGTACCAGATGTGCACCAAATGTGTACCAGATGGCCGTCGTGAAAACGGCTAGTATGACCTGTTGGTGCTGACGGTAGCCCGTCATCACAATAGTCACATATATCCAGCATGATAAACAATGATGAAGTTAACAACAAAACATCTAAGCAGATAACATACACTGTCAACAACCATTAAAAACGACGTCGTTTTTGTACTTTGTGATTTCATCAGCGAAAGTTAAACTAAACCGCCACGTCTCTGACTGACGGCACGTTCTTCCTCAGCGTCAGCGGCTGCACGAGCACCTGTACCGCGCCGGCGGCGGGGCGGCCAGCAACTACTCGCTGAAGCCGTCGCCGTCGTCACCGCTGCCGACGTCGGCCTCGCCGGTGCACGAGGAGGAGGAGCGACGCGACGTCAAGTACCTCTCCTCCAGGTGAGGGCCGAGAGGTTCGGGGTGACGCGGTGTGCCTTATTAATTATCATAGGGAGGGTCTGGGACATTGTGCAGTTGAAACGAAATTTCTTTCAATGCGCTGCTCAATTGAGACAGTTAAACGGTGGAGCTATGGACGCGTGTCGCTCAAAAGACACTAAGGGTATTGCTTCAGTCCTCCAGATGAGGGTAGAGAGGGTCGCACGCGGGCTGGCGGTGGTGTTCGTTTATGATATGCCCCTATGTGGTGTTGGGGGTGAAACTAAAGGAATTTTGTCAAAAAAGAGATAGCAACATTGACATTGCAAATATAGACTCGTATCGTTCAAAGACGCTAAATGCACTCCAGAAAATAGGCAAATGAGGATGCACGCACGCACAAAAAACAACCAGAAAAGACAAAAGTACGTTTTCATGGAACGAGTAAAAATAGACATACAAGTCGCAAGATCTCTTCGAGTTTGACCGGTTCATATAACAATGTTAATGCGGTATAAAAGCCGCTTCGCAGTGGAGTAAGGAAATCGCAAGGGAATCAGGCATCAGCTAAAAGCGGAGTTCATCTAATTATATCATACTTGAGCCTCGCTCAGTTACGTAGTGGTATGACATGGTGCTCCCCCGCAGGCCCCAGATTATTTGCCTGTTCTGAAAGGTTTTTCGTGTGTTTTCAGCTGTATGCTGGTCACCAACTATTCCGGCAATGTGTCGTCAGTGGTGGACGACCATTTCACGCGGGCACTCAATGTCACCACCTCCGACAAAGGTGAGCACTGAACACGGCTGGGATAGTGACGTCATCCGGGCATGATAGTGACCCCATTCAATGGGTAATAAGCCGATGGGACGGCAAGATGTTCATTCACATACTCGATAGGTAAATGTCAAGCACAAGTTTTTCATCTCGCTGAATATCAACTTTATAGGATCAGACTTTAGGGTCCACATCAGTCGGGCGCACTAGGGTAATTCCGTTCCATATATAGAAACGTTTCTATATTTGGAAACATTTCTATATTTGAAATGTTTTTTGTTCCATATATAGAAACGCTCGTTCCATAAATAGAAACGCCAACCTTCCGGACGATTTATTTTAAAGCAAGATGCGTTATATAACTTTCTAGATGGTGGAATGCCATCTAGTGGCAACAAGGAAGCACTCAGGTGAAAATGACATGTCAATTTCGCCAAAACTTAAAACATCTATTTAGCCCAAATTAGCCAATATTCTGCCAAAAATCAGCCCAAATCAGGTTCTGGACGTTATATTTGAAGGGAAACCTTAATGGAAGTTTTTCTCTTATTCGCAATTTCTTCTACATTTTACACAAACCGGAAATCAAATCGTCGTCATTACCATGGGCCACCATGGATTTCTTCGGGCCTCCTTGCGATTATAAACTCAAATGTTGGCTTGTCACTGGTGGTAACCGTTTTGTGCGAAATTTCGCCAGAGCTTGCGAAGATCGTCAAACAGGTGAGCGTGCACCTACCGTTTCCAAATATAGAAACGCAGCGTTTCCATATTTGGAACAAGCGTTTCTATATATGGAACATCGTTTCCAAATATAGAAACGTTTCTATATATGGAACGGAATTACCCTAGTGCGCCCGACTGAATTCAAATCATTTATGTATACTCGTAAACCTTACTATTCCTATATCTGTAATCACACTTTTATGAACACATTTTCCTGAACAAACGGTGATGCTGTCTCAATATCCTCGGGATGCACCCGCAGGCAAGATTAATGTCATAATATCTTATGCCCAAAATATGCGTAATAGGCAAACATTTTTCATGCACTGATGACCTCAGATACCACAATGTGATATTATTTTAAAAGTGCTTTGCTATCGACCAGTAAAGTTTGCTGTTCTGCCTCTGGAGGGCCCCGGCACACAGTGCCTTTCCTATGAACACACCTCCGTTTACGTCCCCGCCGCCGTAGTCAGCCGTGTCCACTTAGGACCATAACCGTTGGGTGGGGCGGGCGACATCAAACCGGTCAGAGTCGGATCACTCTACCGAACCGGTCCCACCAATCGGCGCCTATTTAGATCGCTGATCAGTTGGAGATCTATTGGGCGGTTATTTCAGATGTAACACGAGTTCCTGTCCCTAGTCCCTGAAGGCAGAGCTAAAACAGTACCATACCTGGTTGGTTAGTGCATAACACCGAACAAGAAACAGCATATGCAATGAACAAGTACTCTGCTCAGTGCTCATATTACAAACGTCAAAATTTCTTAAGCCTACCAGTAAAAATGGAACCCTTATTTAGCTATATACGCCGGGCGGTCCTCCAATCAGTCTAGCTCGATGACTAACTCGAAATTGTCTCACTGCGACAAACATGCGCCCATATTCTGGTGACGTGATCCGCACATTAACTTTACCTGTCATCAGGCCAGCCGGCGAGTCCACTTTTCCAACTGACTGATGGCCGTGGGGCTGGGGTCTGCACGAACAGGCCTGTGATCCTGCCGCCAGCGCCGGGTGGACGGCGGTCGGCCGTGCCCTACCACCCGCGCGGGCGTGCCGGCAGCGGGAACGGCCGGTCCCCAGCTCGTACCAACGCGTCCCGGCGTCTGAAACCGAGCCTACCTGTCCTGATCGGTCGGTTTAACCCCACAGACTCCGAACAGCCCGGCATGTCACGGGCGATCGCAACTGACACCGGTAAAATCACTCTGACAGCGGGCCCGTCACGGCACATCATTGCAGCCATCAATTCCGTCGTCCGAGCGTCGGGCGCGCGAGCTCACCCAAACCAAACCCTACCTCCGCGCACAGAGACGCGACGGAGACACCGGGTAGCCTTCGGTGCTCGGTTCAAACTCTGGGAGTGCGTCACAAAAAGCGCATGCCTTCTCTTCCGCCGACAATTACCGGCTGTCGGCGCTTTGATGTGGCGATGGAAAAAGCGACGGCCGCGGCGGCCGGTGGGCCGGCGAGCAGCCGGCGGTCGCCGATCGGCAGCGCCTGGAGTCCAGACCGTGGCGAGACAACTTGGAGGGACACAAATCTGAGACTAGCGGAAGGCAGATAGCTGAGACTGACGGGAGACGAATATAATACCGACGGGAGACAACTAGGAGGCTGGCTGGGAGACAACATTGAACTGACGGGAGACAATCCAGAGACTGACGGAAGAGCGCACGGAGACTGGCGGGGGGGGGGGGGGGGGGAGGAGACGACGCGATAGTAACGGAGAAAAAAATTGAAACTGACGGGACTCGAATCTGAGACTGACGGGAGGCAACTCTGATCCCGCGGAATTGCGGGAGATAACTCAGAGACTGACGGGTGAAGCTCAGACTGCCGGGTGAAAACTCAAAGACTGACAAGAGACTGGACATGATGACTAAATAAACACGGTGGCCACCGTGAGAAAGCACGGAGATGGTCTTGTCGGTAACTCTATACATTTGGAGTATACCTTTATGATGCACACTGCTGCATGTATGATGGACATGAAGCGGGCCAACTTAATTATTTTTGCTCTAGCTCAGGCCATGGACCGAAAGTGTAACCGACCTTTCGGCCTCTAATGCCGTCCACTGCCCAGACTTCCATCAAGTTCCGTGCTCTATCTGTTAGCTCAGTGGAATGACACAGTCGCCATTCCCATCCATTAGTACCTGGCCTGAGTCTGAGTTTGATGGCCGGTGCTCGGGTCAGATCGGAATGTGTCGGGCGAGCCGATCGTCGAGGGCGAGCAAGGTCGGGGAGAGCGTGAAAAAAGGAGCTCGGATGGAATTGTAGTGCTGGTGGATATGATCCAAACTTAACTAAACTTACAAAAAAAGAGAATATGGAGAAGATGGAAAATGGGCGTAAAGCATGGAAAGTGGAAAGCCATAGGGTATGTTGCGAGACCGAACAAGAGACGTTCACCAAGGCATGGCTCATGCATATCATGAATTCACTCGGCGGGATATGTAAGGGTCGACAGGGCATGAGACGTGAGATCAGACGGGTCAGCATGGACGTGGGAGCAGAAAGAAAACTCCAGGAACAGGTCGGCTCGGTGACACAGAGAGATGGCCTATTGACATGCCTCTGACGGGAGGAAAATCTTCTCCGATAAAGATCAGCTTCCCACGCGGCCGGCCGGCCGGTGATACTCCAAACAAACGCACAGCGCATATTTCCATAATTTGGTGCCGGAATACAGGTGACGGAGAGAGATAGGATCAAACGCGCATAGCGGGCACGCTATCACAGAACAAAACGCCTAGATGTAAATGTGTCACATGCGTTTCTAGGTGGATGTGGGGGATTTTGAAATCCACCTGTGGGTCCACGCTTCTGTCCAGCGCGCACGCTCCTCGTTTGGGGTCATACTGAGCTCGCGGTTAAAAAGTCGGCTAGTGTATTTTCCTGCTACCGCTCTTCCTGGCGCTGGGGCTCGCTGCAGTTTGCAGAGTGCAGAGTTTACTGGATACAGCAGCGCGCACGTGGTTTTTAGAACAGCTGCGACGGCCGGACTGTCCTCTGACGTCATCCATGTTGCAATGACGTCCGACCGCAAAGTTTGGTGATGTCATCTAGTATTCACCTGGTGCCTTCGCTTCCATTCGTCTCTTTTTCGAACATCTTTATACACTCAGCGAATCAATTGTTTTCATTGTCAGGCATTCGGAATGCGAATAGCCTTTATTGTCCCAAGCGAACTTCGTTGTATCCATCATTTTACATTTGTTATTGAATGCGAAAACTAGTGGCGAATTCAGTGGAAGGCAGTGTTGTATCGATCTCTCCTATTCTTGTTGACAGCCCCCGTCCCTGGCCCTGACTATCATGCCGTCTGGCATTCCTCATCATCAATACTACTAACAGACTATCAATCCTACTACTACTACTATCAATACTTCTCTTTCTAGTGACCATAACTAGCATCCTTGTCTTACATTCTCCTTCAATCATCTGCATTCTGCGGCATCCTTTCTCTAAAACATCGTAATCCAACATTACGCCTGTCCTGTCCCCTCTCTCATCTTATCAACACCATTACGTGCGCCCACTGACGATCCCCTCGCTCAATGACGCTCACTCACCCACTGACTCTCACCGTCTGTCTCCCGCAGCGCCGGTGCCCATGTCGCAGCGCAACTTCCCGGCCTCGTTCTGGAACAGCAACTACCACTCGCGGACCACGCTGACCTCGCACGACCTGTACTCGGACCCGTACCACGCGGCGTCGCTGGCCGGCCTGCACCAGCCGGCCGACTGGTACTACCCCATCACCTCACAGGCGTACGGGCACAACTTCTCCTACGGAGCAGGAACGTCGGCGCGCTACAACCAGTACCCCAGCCTCTTCCTCCAGGTGGGTGGCTAGTTCAGTTTTTTTTTGCCTGTACAAAAGTAGGTGAAAGTGGTAGCTGGTGTTGAAATCGATGCCTGGAATGATCGTTCATTGGCTGCTTTACATCACAAAAGGCTCAAGACTCATAGCGATACACAGTCATAACTTTGAATGCTACAACGATTCCGAAAGACAAAATTTAAACAAAGTTGGCTGGAACGGGCGAACGAAGTGCATCGAAAGTTATAGTACCATCATTTAAGACAGCCTCATGTCGTGCGAATCGTTTCGATAGCAACTTCAATTCGCATTTATTATGCACCGCTTGATTAATGACATGGTCTAGTTTACATACAAGAAAATAAGCTCCGGCCCCTAATGCCACTTTGCGTGACGTTTAGATCTGACCGGTTTTGCATAGTACACGGTCCACAGGTACTGAGAACAAACGCGGTCACCTAGCGTGTCCGAGGATCGGCAGTCCTCACGGCGTCGGTACAACAGATCAAACGAGAACTAACAGTGTACTGAGCGTGGGAGATCCCCAGAGTCCATACTCCGAGAACTCTGCGCCGGCACGACTCCATTAGGGCGCTATGCTGTTGTAATCACCCGGTAAAGAGCTACTCTTGACTCCTTGAGCAATCAGCCGCCCGACCTCCCCAGAACAGGTGGTGGCTTATGGTGTTTAGATTTATGCCTCGGTGCGATTTAGCTCTTGCTGCGCGTGGCCCACAAGCCGGTAAGCTGGCCATGTTTCCGGAAAATCGCCATTTGATACCAGAAATCGGCGTCGTTTGCCATTTGGCCGCATTCCTTTGGCCAACCACAGTCACGCGACTGCAGTCGACGGAATACTGCACTCTGCTACCGGGCTTTTCGGCGGGTCTACCGCAGGGCCCGGCTCTAAAAATCACAGACGAATGCATCCAAACGAGAATATGAGCTGACGCCTAGCAGGTTCATGATGATGTAATCTACAGGGATCTCAAGCTGCTGATGTAAAACGTTTACCGCGAAAGATTTTGTCTTTTTCAGCTTATGAAAACACGGTAGACTGTATAACATAAATTGTGCGACGCTAGGCAATGCCGTGTCAGCCTCTTCAACCTTACATCAGATGGAGTCCAAAAATAAAAGTATATTCCAATTACAGCGTGTTTGACATTCCTGTGGGAAGATATCTTTAAAGTTAAAAAAGGAAACATTTCAAGAGCTAAGCCTCAAACGACCTCGTTGCAAGGTCTTTTTAAAGAACCATGCCACAGAAGTACAAACATGGTGCTCTAATTAAGGAACACACACGATATATCCCTGTGAAGCTTGTACCTATAGTGGTGCATGTCGGTAACATTTTTGTCACCGAATAAGTGTCAGGGCACGACACAATGTTGGGAATTACGTGACATCATTTGCATTCCTCGCTATCTCATTTTTGTCGATCTAAATCCTTGCCTCATCGAGGAAAGTAAGAGTTGTCATTTAACCACTGAACAGTAGCCTCTGTCTCTATGCATACGCCGGCACCTAAATTTCCTCATCAGCTCAGAACTATCGAATCCACCATGCACCGTGAATGGTATCGTGACCTGTGGTAACGATCATGTCATGTAAAACATTGCTTCCAGTGAGTGCACCAATTTTCCATATTCATGCATCATCAAATGACCCATGTCACGCAGTTTCTGTGTACTTCGTAAATGACTGACAGCTCATAATTTGAGCATAACATTTTTGGGCCGGCCACTCAACCTCAAAGCAAGAAAGATATTCCAAAACTAGAACCGTATCTATGACGCTTACCTTACTCATGCCGCTCGACCGCGTGTCTCGCGGAAGACACGTTTCACCGAGTCGACCTCCCGACTGACCTCTGACCTTTCTCTGCAGTCGGCGGCGACAGCTGGCCGGCTGGGGATGCAGCAGGGCCACGGTCTGGATCCGAGCAGCTATAGCCCCTACATGTACTCAGCAGGTGAGACCGCCAATGATATCTCGCCATCGCAATCAACACCTAAAAAATCCAGCGACATTTCTCGTCTAACGTCTGTTTGAAGTCCAAATTATCAACTTCCTCTCACTGTGTTGTCCCGATTCCGTTAGAATATTTGAAACAATGTTCTTGATAAACATTTTTTTTATGAGACGTGGAAAAATGGAATACGTCAAATACATCCACATGTCACGCTTGATTGAGCAAACTTGAATCCATAGTTCACGATCTTCGAAGCTCGTTCAGCGTTAGTGAAAGCCTACGGAATGTTGTGGTTTAGTTGAGTATATTCAATCTCAAATCATAATTTTTAACATCAAATGTTTGTTATGTCCACAGGTTTGGAAGGAACCTCCGTGCCAGATACGGCCACCAAAGACTTACACTGGTTCCAGTAGCCAGTAAATGGCGCTCGCACGACGCGCTGATAAACGTCAGGGGACCGGTGCTGGTGCCTTGAAAGACGCCGCCGGCCGGCCGGCAGTGCAGTGACGCGCGCGATACAAACTCAAGAGTGCTCCCTAAAGGTGACCTTTTGCGACCCGAACTTACACTGGCATCACATGCCAGCCGCAGAGTGTTTACAAAGAGTCCACAAAGAGAGCGCACGAAAACGTCGACGACGATGTGAAAGAGAGAACTTGTGATGTGTTGATACGCAGTGATGCGGATCGCTCGAGTCTCCGCCGCCAGTGTTAATTGTATATATAGCGAAGACACTATCTTTCGTAGCCGATATCTCCATTCGTATCATTCATAAGGCGTGAGCTGTTGTCTGTTTGGATGTGCCGTGATGGTACAAGCCTGTGGGTGCGCAGTGTGAATGCAGTTTATGGTTGTAGCTTTGCAGCGCGGTGCGCTTCTGTGTTCTGACAAACAGCAGTGATTTGGCCTCGTGCTTTGACGTGAGACGTCCCATGAAGACATTCTGGTTGTGTTGTTTTGAATGGTTTGCTTCCATTTAGAAGTTCTTATAATATATGATAGCCGTCTTCTTCGCTGTTTGCCAATACTTTCGTTATACCCACAAATTTCCTGACAACGCAAACTGAGAAAAACAAAAAAAAAGCACCTGAATTGCTAACATCAATGTTTAGCAACTGCTCTATGCTCCCGTCTCTATTCTACTGAATTTAATAACTTCCTGGGGCGGTCCGAGCTCTGGGAAAATGACACATTCGCCATCCATGCGTGAAACAATAAGCTGCCACCACCACCGCCAAGCCGTCTATACCTGAGTGGGTTACAAAGCGCCGCCCCCGGAGCGTGATTAATACGGCATTTATTAGTGTTGTGCAGGCAGGGAGCGCGCAGAGGGGAGCCAGAGGTGGCAGTCGAGGGGGAAATCCAGCTGGCTGATCCCCTGCTCGAGTGCCATAAGCCGGCGATGAATTACACGCTTCTTTGTCTGTATCCTATTATTGGGGAGCGGATCCGATTATTCCGATTTCATTTAATCGGCGAACAATGGGCGGCGATAGCGATGACATGGTTCTTCGCGTGGGGCGTCCACCATATTGGATTAGGGGTCAGAACAGATTGCTTTATTATTCATACACACTCCAAGTTCAGAAGTAAATGTAGCCGGATGAAAGAGAAGCGTTTTCATCACGACTGACATTTATCAGAGGGAAGTTGTTAGCTTCAAAGCGAATGAATTTTGCGAGATATTGCTGAACGTTCCACGCCATAATATGAGCGGGAGTAGTGTCGTATTGCCTACGCGGCGTCTGGTCTCAGATATTGCGCCAGACATTGAAATGAAGAAATTGATTACAAACCAGGACACTAATCTATTCCACCCGAAATACGAAGATTCAATACACAATTTAGAGGAATAATTGCTCAGAAATGCTATGTCATGTTGACCACATGAACGATTGCTAGATAGGGAAACTCCCCCCCCCCAAAAAAAAACGCAAAGTTAAGCCAAGCAATCACATGCCCAAACAAAATATTAATCTGCGTATTCGTGCTTTGTTTCATGATCTTAATTGAATACAAGCACACCTTCATGTACTTTCCCTGTAAAATGATTATATTGACGGCTATTCAGTAAATTTATACATCACCATCAACAGCGTTTTGACGTTTGGAAAGATGCCGATGATAACCATCTTAAACTTTCATCTTTTATTCAATGCTTTGCCAGTAATACAATAATTGTCTTCTACCATTCATTTTGAAAATGTGAATGCTGCTGGGTCGCATGGTAGGTATAGCGAACGATAGGAGAATTGTTTACATGATCCATCGAAGATCTGTATGATCGGAGTGTCGAGTGAATCGCCTAAAGACAAATCGTGTATCTAGTTAGTTCATACCCTTCTCTTTAACATGCCTTTGCGCTGTCCCAACTTATCAAGACTCAGATATCTCGTTAGCTGCCATGGAACTGCCTCGCGCCCACATGTGCCCACAGCATACATCACGGCTCCACAGACGCCGTCTTGTTCTTGGGCGAGCGCCGTGGTCAGATAAGGATTAGCACCGTTGTTATGGCGACATTCAGCAGGCGACGCGCAGCCGGAGAATGCGCCGGACAATGCTCCCGCGCCTGCCAAAGCTGTTCCAGGTGCCCCCTCCTCAGCCGGACCGTATGCATGCAAACTCGGCAACACACACGTACGCCGACTTTTCTTTAATTTGCCGTTTTGGAATTCACGGCGGCGACTTCAGAGGCGGTCGCCGGACCGGCCGGCGTCGGCCATCAAAAGCGCTCCGAAATGCTCGGCGTGACGGTCCACCGTGCGGCCCATTCCCGAGTGGAGTCGCTGTCGTCTGGTCCGTGCAGTGGTGCCGCGGTGGTCAGTAGGCGGATGACGGGTCGATGACGGCTGACGTCTCCAGGCAGTGACGTCAGGACGTCAGCGATGGAAGCGGTGATGGAAAAACATGCGGTGGATCGGTGGGTGGCTTTGAGGAAGACGATGCTGGCTACTTTAGTAGGTTATATGAATAGACCGAGTAGCTACTTGATGGTGGATTGGTAAGATTATTCAGAGATCGTTGCTCATGCAAAGAGACATAGGCACTTCGGTATGTTGAAAGGTTCATGTCGTAGGAGAAGCTCTACACTGTGGGTAGGAAGGCGATATTGGAGAGAACTTCACGAAGACAATCACGACGAAATGACCAATACCTTATCTTTCGGAGAAAACATCGCCGTTTCAAAGATGCAGCTCAAACAGCACACGTATAAATACTGTTACCAAATGTCAGCTACATCTGCTGGCTGTAATTCAGCTCTCATGACCCTGGTACTTGACCTGGGTGATAAATTCCGACCCCGAAGTTGCGATTCCTGCTACGTTTTTGTGGGTCTCAAGGAGCGACAAAAAGTCATTCACCTCAGAGCTGATACAGCGAAATAGAAAGTGATCGGGAGGCTGGGCTGCGTGCCGAAGCCATGGGAGAACCATCTCCAATGGGCGTCATTCCTGTGTCGCACAAATATGAACACAAAATATGCCAGACGGCCGTCTTTATTACCGTGGGAGCCCCGGCCAGGAATATCCAAACTACAGGAAATTGGCTGCCCCAGTGAGCCGAGACAGTGACGACGACACACATCAGTGCGTGCTTCTCTGCTGGGACCGGAGATCCCATTCCAGTGGGAACCGAAGAAAGTGGAATATTTCTTAGGATGAATGGAGATTGACTTAGTTTTTAAAAGGCCTGGAGCTGTTTGGGGCTGTTTAAAGGTGCAAATATCAAATGTCGAACGTCCATATTATTATAGTCAAATCCAGCCTAAGCCCAACAGTGTGAATTTTGATAATGCAGCTTTCATCAACTCACATGATCGAGTAGACACTCAAGCAATGTTCTTTGTTCATACCACCCACATATCCATAACCATTTAGCGCTTCCGATAAATAAGCGCAATACTTTATTTTGAATTTGGACACGACATGCACGAAATCAAGTATATCTTTCATAACACACTAGCCAAAACAATGTAGAGGCTGGCAATGCCAGTACGCTAGTCAGTAGTTAGTAATATCACGAATTTAGTTTACATCAGAATCTTTCACGATTGATAACAGTAGGCAGTTTCGAAACTACTTGCGAGTAATGACCGTTGTTTATGCCTCTCACTGTCCAGTAGCGATACGGCCACCGTCACCGGGCGTCATCGCCATGTCGTCCGGGCCTTCCCACGCCCGGCCGGCGGCGGCGGAATGCATGGCTTTGATCTCGCCGACTCAGGCTTGTGATTAGTATTAATTAGATATTCAGATCCACGTATGACCAATGGATCTAACCAATTAACGATTGGCCTTGTTTGAACCATTATCAATCTCACTCAGTCGTCTATAGAGGGTAGGATTCTTGAAATTTTCTTTTGCTTTCCCATGGCACTTGCGATTAGCATTGTCCGATCCAGTTACATTGTTCGAGACGGTGTCATGGACGTAGCATACTTATTACGAGCGAGCGAGCGCAGCGAGCGAAGTGAGTCTTTTCAATATAACGGAAAAATATCAGTATGAGCGGCCCGGCCCGGCCCGGCCTGTAACGCTTTTGAGAGGCTTATATCTCAGCAACCGCTGGACCGATTGGCCTGCGGTCTTTTTTGTTGGGTAGCCCCATCCCTTCTACCCCGTAATTGACTACTTTTGATACATCTCAGTGACCGTCGTGGCACGTGCCACGTGAAAAGTCAAGGGTGTTCAAGCTGTTTTGCAAAAGTAGTGATTTTGAGAGGCTCATATCTCAGCAGCCGCTTGGGCGATTGACTTGCGGTAATTTTTGTAGGGTAGCAGCATCCCTTCTACCCAAAATAGGATACTCTCGATGCATGTGGGTCACCCCCAGTGCACGTGCAAAATACAACAATAAGAGGTGCCAAATTTGTTCCCATTTCAGTAACTCGGTAATTACTGGGGCGATTTCGCTGAAACTTGGCATACAGGCAGACACCCACCAGGCAATGCATTCCCATGTGTTGCGGTTAGGGTGCTACTGCACGTGCGCACGTGCAGGGGGCGTTTCCAGATCTCGAGAACGGCTGGGCCGATTGCGCTCAAATTTGGTACACGGTTGGGGACCAGTTAGTAGGGTGCCGTGCAAAAGTCATTTTGGACCCCGTTTGCACGTGCGCACGTGCAGAATGCCGCTTCCAGATCTCAGGAACGGCTGGGCCGATTGCGTTCAAATTTGGCACACCGCTAGCGACCGGTTAGAAGGGTGCTTTGCACAAGCCCGTTGGAAGCACCCTCTCGCCCTTCCGCACGTGCAGGGCTCACTATCTCGCTCGCTCGTTCTTCGCCCAAAAGGCGTTTTACTGGTTACTAATGTCGCAATAAACTGCTGTCCGCGGTGAGAAACAATATGCAGCGTTCTAGCATGTCTTACGTGGAAATGAAGGGCATGTCTTTATGAAATGCACTTAAAAGATGCATGCATGAAATGCACTTAAAAGATGCATTTCATAAGATATATTTCGCCCAACCAAAGAGGAATTTGTGTTATAAGGAGCGAAATATCTATAAGATAGTTCTGAGCATCCATGTGCACTGTGCGGCTGCTATGACATTGGAATGAGTCATTTGCATTGGAGACGAAAGTCATAAAGAGTGTGCTCTGCGCTAGGCCCTGTCCTATGTTCATTTGTACAGCTGCCGGGTAGCTCAGCTGTAAAATTAAGTACAGCACACCGCTAAAGTAATGTAGGGTCTTACCAATCTCAACGGTTGGCTTTGATTGGCGATTGTTTAATGCGGAGTGATCGAAAAGAAGATGTCAATAGCTAAAGTTGCAGCTGCAAGGGTGACGATACATATAAGCTACATTCAAAGTTTCATTCGTTCCTAATAGAGATGCCACTTTTGAACCCGCGAACCCGCTTTCTGCGGGTTTTCAAAACCCGCAGGGTTTTTGGCGTGTTTGAGAAGCAAAACTTGTCGTGTGGCGGGTATTTGGCGGTCAGACTTAAGAACCTATAATTTTTTTTTTTTTTTTTTAAGATGCAAAACACAATGCCAAGTGC